TGTCCTACTACTTTAACAACTGTTAAATTGTCAAAGGAAACAGCCCGCTAAACTGAACTCTACTTTACCACAGATCTACTCACGGATAGATTTGGGGTATTTGTTTTCAATGCCCCTGTGCTCAAATATCAAACCCTCAGATTAATCTGAATATTGCTAATGGATTGCACATGGGGGTCAATGTTCCATTAAATACTTCATTATGTGAGTAATATCTATTAACTTTCATCAAATGATCTTTGATTTACTAAAGCAGGAATTGGCAAACATTTTCTGCAAAGCACCACAGAGTAAATATTTTAGTCTTTGTGGGCCAAAAGGTATCGGTGGTTGTAGTATGAAACAAGTTATAGACAATGGTGAATAGGTGTGACTACTTTGCACTAAAAACTTTGTGTACAGGGGTGCATAACTCATGCATGCACCCCTGGACTTCATCCCCAACACCACCGAAACAAAAACAAAATCTTAAAAAGTTTTCTTATAAAATATGCAGATATACAACAAAAAAGTATAGATTTGGCCCGCAGGCACTAACTTCTTGACTCTTGTGCTAAACCCAAGGTGCAACTAATGTAGTGAATTTTCCTTGCAAAAGGCACCTGCATGCATATCATCATCCCTTTTAAATAATATTTTTGTGCTTCTTTAATTGAACATGCATCACAGCATATTTTTCAAGTGACTTCATGTACAGAATGTATAAAAATTTAGTTATAAATTAGGGGGCTGGGGTTGTGGCTCAGTGGTAGAGCGCTTGCCTAACATGTATGAGGCACTAGGTTCAGTTCTCAGCACTGCATATAAATAAATGAATAAAATAAAGGTCCATCAACATCTATAAATTAGATATGTTCTGAGTTGTTCCCTATTTTACTGTTATAGAATTCAATGTTTTATTGTTACTGATAACTTTGTTTTTAAAAATTTATTTTAATTAGGTATATATAACAGCAGAATGCATTTTGATTCATTGTACACAATTGCAGCACAACTTTTCATTTCTCTGGTTGTACATCATGTAGTGTCGCACCCTATGTGCAGTCATACATGTACCTAGGGTAATGATGTCCATCTCATCCACTATCTTTCCTGCCCGCATTCCCTCTCCCCACCTCTCCTTCCTCTTTGCCCCCCAAAAGTTCTCCATTTTCCCCATGTTCTCCCCCCACCCCATTATGGATCAGCATCCACTTATGAGAGAAAACATTCAGCCTTTGGGTTTGGGGGATTGGCTTACTTCACTTAGCATGATATTCTCCAACTCCATCCATTTACCTGCAAATGCCATAATTATCTTTTAATGCTGAGTAATATTCCATTATGTACATATACCACAGTTTGTTTATCCATCTATCTATTGAAGGGCATTTAGATTGCTTCCACAATTTAACTATTGTGAATTGAGCTGCTGTAAACATTGATGTGGCTGCGTTACTATAGTATGATGATTTTAAGTCCTTTGGGTATAGACCGGGGAGTGGGATAGCTGGGTCAAATGGTGATTCCATTCCAAGTTTTCTAAGGAATTTCCATACTGCTTTCCAGATTGGTTACACCAATTTGCAGTCCCTCCAGCAATGAATGAGTGTGCCTTTTCCCCCACATCCTCGCCAACATTTATTGTTGTCTGTATTCTTGATAACTGCCATTCTGACTAGCGTGAGATGAAATTTTAGAGTAGTTTTGATTTGCATTTCTCTAATTCCTAGAGATGTTGAACATTTTTTTCATATCTTTGTTGATCAAATGTATATCTTCTTCTAAGTGTTCAGCTCCTTAGCCCATTTATTGATTGGATTTTTTTTTTTTTTGGTGTTAAGTTTTTTGAGTTCTTTATATATCCTGGAGATTAGTGCTCTATCTGACATGTGTGTGGCAAAAGTTTGTTCCCAAAATGTAGGCGCTCTCTTACTGATAACTTTGTATATTGGCATATGTAATCCTAGAGTTAAATGATTTGCTTGAAGCAAGAATTACTATTATTATTTCTCTGCTCACATTTAGTTGCCTCCCTTTTCACTCAGCGTCCATGCCAAAGTTTTTCCTAATATCTACCAGATAATACCTGATCTGTCCCCTGTTAAATGTCTGACTTTAACTTGTATTTCCCATCTCTTTCGTTCTATCCCAGCCCTCCTGAACTTCCCACTATTCTTTAAGCTCTCCAGGAATACTCTCTATGGAAGCTTTTCTGTAGATGGCTTCTGGCTTGGGCCTTCTATTCTTTCAGGTTTTTCTTTACGCCACTTCCCTAGGGAGGCCTTTCCTGCCATCCTGACTAACATTTCCACCATGCTGCCCCTGCAACATATGGAAGTTTCATTTTTCATTCTCCCACTGTTGCTTTCCCCTCGGGCACACTGTGCATTTAAGCCGTGTATCTTGTTTATTGTTGTGAGTCTACTTCACTCTCACAGTAGGATTTGGGCTTGTTTATCACCATGTCCTTATTGCCTAGAAACGAGTGCCTATCATACAGCAAGTGACCACTGAACACATATTTATTCCATTTGTGAGTGGAGTTTATTACTCTTGGTGTATTGTTTGAAACATTGGATGCCGCAGTCTGGCTGGGCACAAATCAGGAGCCACTGAAGCAGGAACAAACTTTATTTTTAAACTGCAGGAAAACACTTCACACAGCTCCCGGGGAATCCTCCCGAACGCCACGAGGCTTGTCCAGGAACCCCCAGCCGGAAAATTCTCTCCCGGAAATCCCTCCTCCTGCACTTCCCCAACCAATGGGAACTCTCGGGGAATCCCCGGAAATCCCCACGAGAACTCCAAAATAGTATGAGAACTCAAAAGTTACGGCAGAGGCGGATAGTAATGCCTCGCCTGTCAATCAATACTGTTGGCAAAATGCCAGGGGCCATACAGACTCGGCCGTGGCTCTCAGCAATTGGACTAATTTTTACTTAGAAAAAGCTTGATGGGAGTCCATCCTGACAATTTTACCTGGCATGTATATGAATGTTTTGGATTCTTTGGGGCTTTTTTTTTCTCCTGGTGCTGGAGATTGAACCTGGGGCCTGCAAGTGCTCTACCATGGAGCCACATCCCCAGCCCTCTTTGTGCTCTTTCATGCAAGCTATATGCTATACATTGATGTTGTTCCATTGGGTCAGGAAAGTCCAATGATGTGGTCACTCATTATTTGTTCTTTTACTGATAATTATAATCTTTTAAACTGTAGTAAAATGGATCAAAGCATCACAAACTTTATTCTATTAAGAAAAATTAAAATACAAGGATAGTAAATTTAATGAACTTAAAAAAATAACTATTGCTCAAGGATTAAGAAACTTTAGTAACTGAAATAAAAGGAGAATTTATTCCTTTCTCAGGCAAAGTTCAGCCTCAGTCCCTTCTAACATACAAAGTGATTATCTTATATAGGGTTTTGCAAAGAGTGGAGTTTAAGGATCAGCCAGCTTCCAGAATGTAAGTTGACATGTGTAGCAGTGTGCTTAACCAACGCCTGCAGCTGTTTATTGGCTGCCACCATAAGGTTGGCGTTGTAAGCCATGTGCATTGGAATGAGTCTATCTATGGCTGCCTTTCAGGAAGCAGATGGCTGGCATGGGTTGGTAGGTATTTGAAGCCAGCGGACTTTGATTTATTGATTAGTTTTAACTCTGGTTTAAGTGGCTACTACAACCATGACTGCAGATCAGTCCTTTCATAAGATCAAGCCAACTGCAACTAGAAGTTTTCTGTTTAAAAGATGCTTTCCATCAACTGTTCAAAATAAAAACGATTTCGTATTCTAGAATTGTAGACTTATATTTGAACTTTGGCATAAGAGGTATTGCTTAATAATTGCTCTCATGAATATATCTCCCTTTTAAAATTTTAAAATGCTTAGAATACTTAATCTGAACTGTAAGAGTTATGTGCATTTCTTCTTTGGCAAATAAGTGTTAGTTTCACTTTAGTTTTTATTTTTTGGTACTGAAAATTAAATCCAGGGTCCTTAACCACTGAGTCACATCCCCAACTCTATTTTAAAATTTTGAATTTTGAGACAGGTCTTGCCAATTTGCTGAAGCTGGCCTCAGACTCGTGATCCTCCTGCCTTAACCTCCCAAATTGCTGGTATTACGGGCGTGTGCCATCATGCCTGTTTATTTTTGATAGTTTTATGGGGTCATGCTCAACTTCTAACAAAATAATCTCCATTAGGGAATTATAGTGTCTTTGTAAATTCATGTAGGTATTTGATGCTAATGTCACATGATTATAATTTGTCCATATAAAAGTAATTACAATGGTCTGTGGTAACCTAGCTTTTTAATATTAAAGTTAGAGACTAGAATTAAAGTCTGCAAATGTTACAAATTCATTTTCAAACAAATTCATGACTAGTCAGAATATTGCCATTTCAAAGTCTATGTAACACTCATGTATTTTTAAAGAGATGTTTTTTTATATGTCTCATGGCATTTTAAAAGCTTCATCTAAATGGCCTAATGTTATATTTTAAAACAAAACCCAATAGTGCAGCATAAATACTTACTACTTACTACTCCCCTGAGAAGCATTGGCTATGGGTATGAGCTCAGGTTTTAGTGCAGCATTGAACTGCTTGGGTTGTCCTGCTATATCATTTGCCTCTGCAAGTTGACATTTTCCTTTGAAGCTTCTACAAAACACCTAGATGTTGTGTACTTTTTTTTTTTTTTTTTTTTTTTTTTTTTGCTTACATTCTATTCTCCAAGTAGAATGGTTTTTCTGTCACTTTTTTTTTTAATGTCCTCTAAGATTTATCCTTTATGTCTTCCATAAAGTCATCCTTGGGCTCAGATCCAGCATTTGGTATACCACCCCTTATATTTCACATTGTATTACAATTGTGTATCTGGTGTATTTTTCAAAGCAGTGTGTATACATTTCCTGTTATTTAGCTAGTGCTTCATGACTTTTTAAAATCGATCAATGAAAAGATGGGGAAGAGTTGGGGTTTAGCAAACTTTCTTTTTATTATTTGTCAGTAGAATTATGGAAAATCATTGCCTTTGTGTGTATTTCTTCAAGTACTGGTCCTGCCTTGCCCATGGAGGTCGGAAAGGAAACTACAACGGAGAAACGGGACTCCCGAGGGTCTGATGCTCCACCTTGGACAGGGCCGGCTGACCCAACTGCCAGCCTTCCACAAACAAAGGAGGATCGCAGCTTAAGTGAACCTGTTGAGGATAAAGGAAGGTAAAGATCCATCAGTTCTGTAGTTTCCTGTGAAGAGGTCAGAGCAGTGAGTACTTTTTCAGAAAATAAGACAGAATAGTGTAGTTCAAGGCAAAGGAAGAGAATACTCAATGATATGGGCGCTGCTGGTAGGTTGATTAAGATGAGGACAAGTGACCTGGACAAGGAGCAGTTTCCATAAATGGTCACCATGGAAACCTGACCTCGGTGGGTAAATGTAGGCAACTCCTTAGAGAACATTTCCTGGGAAAGGCAATAGAGACGTGGATACTAACTGAAGGAGAGTGTGAGACTTAGAGGTTTTTTTCTTTTAAAATAGAAGCTTTTAATGTTGGTTCTTGGAAATGGTCCAGAAGAGGAGGACACACCTATTCGATTAATTGGTTTGCATGTCCAGATATTAGAAAGCTTCACACATATAGTAAATAAATTGTCCTTAGAATTTTTATTACTTTGTTTTCTATGGTAAGAGATTGCTGTTTACTGTGCTCTGGTTCACAAACTGGCTATCCTAATATAATTGAGCATGCAAATAAGGGCCCAAGCCTTCAACTCTCACAGATTTTTAAAATTGTGTGATAGAGGACGTTCAAGCACATAGGCTATCCTCAACAGAATGCAGAGTTGTGTCCTGTGCTTTGGACGGTTATCATCAAGAGTAGGTAAGATATTGTATGGTACTCTAAACTATCAGGTGTGTCAATATTAGATTTGGGGGAAAGGAGGACTTTGTGTACAATACAAAAGTAAAGTACTGACAGCATAGTTCAGATTATTTGCATAGAATTATAAAGTTTTAAAGAATCAAAATCTCATTTCCTCTTGTTTCCCTCTTTCAACAGCATAATTGAAAATGTTTCATGTGCCCAGTAAGTATGCACAAATAAACGGTTGAATAAATTATTCCTGTTGATGAATTTGTTTTGAAAAATAAATAAACCTTCAGTTGATTAAAACTAGGGTTCCTAAATTGCTTAGGTATAAAGTCTTTTTACTTAAAAAATACTAGCAAGATTCAGAAATTATTATAACTGTGTCCAGACAAGGAATGACAATATAGACAATCTGCTGTTATATTTCCTAATACAACTTGAAGATATATCACTTTGACAGCATATTGTGAAGTATATGCTATGAAGACTGAAAACCTGTGTTTGAATTTTGGGTTTGCCACAAACCTGCTGTGTGGGTTTGGGCAATTAGTTGGCCTTTCTTTGTGTGATTTCTCCCTTGATAAAATACCTAATCTGTCGCTTCTCTCATAGAATTACTGTGAGGATTAAGACAAGTTTAGCATGTACAGGGCTTTCAATTATATGCAGCGATTATATTGTAGGTCCTGAAACATGAATCCCTGTGGTTATTACAAATGGGTTTCCCACACACAGGATTTAAGTCATATTTTTACAAATCGTTTTAGTGCCTTGTAAAAGTTTCATTTCTTGAAAATAAATGATTGTAAAGTTTATGAATAGGAGAAATAAATTGCAAATGTAGATATTTTACATAAAAAAGATAATAGTCTGAGATTTTGTGTTGACATATTTAGTGTTTGTCTGAAAGGATTTTACATGTTTTTGTCTTTTTAGGCCCACAGAGAAAACATCTAATGAGAAGGAGGGCAAGGTATTGTTAGAAATAATCCAAAAGAGTGTTTTATTGAAAAAGTAAATTACGAAAGTCAAAGCGATACTAAATAAAATATAATTTAAAAACATATGGTAAGAGGTAAAGTGAAAAAATAGAGCAGGTTTTTTTTTTTGTTGTTGTTGTTATGTACAGACTTTAACTTTGAAAAATGGTTAAGAAAGAATAGTCACCAATAAAGGTTTCCTTTTGACTGAAATCTTTAAAAACTACCTGTGCTTCTGCTTATATAAAAAGATGGTTAACTGCCACTTCTACTAATTTAATATGTGGTCTATATATTTGGGGTACATTCTGATATTGTATTATTGCTTTATAGGTCAAAAACCAAGTACATGCTATAGAAGACCTTGATGACTTAACACAGCCACCTGAAACAGCCTTACAGGATTCTGAGGAGACATACCTTAATTTTCAGAATATTTTGGGGCTAATTGAAGAATTTAAAATATCACATAAAGGTAGGAACTTTGTATAAAAACGAGGCCTTCTGATGCACATTATAGTAATATATGCACACACTACTCAGCCCTGCACCAGAGAGCTGATGGGTTATAGAGTTGTTCATGCAGAAATGTGCTTCATATTAGAACAGGATGAGAAGTGTGGCACCAGACAGCTGTGACCACTGCACTTTTCTTTGTGAACTCCCCTGCACCCCTCCCCCCAACCCTACCCCGTATTGATTCTGCTGCTCTCTTGGACCATTGACCACCATGAGGTCAGGTTACCATCCTTCTACCTGAATTTTGCAGTAATCTTGAAACTGTTTTCCCTGCCACCCCACCCCCTGAAACTTGCTCTTTTCTGCAAGTATAATCACATTGTTAAAAATTCAGATCTCACTATATTAACCCTTTCCTTAAAACCCAGCTATCACTTCTCTTTGCTATAAGATTAAAGGCCTCTGTCCTCCAGCTTTATTCTGATTCTACGACCCAACCACTGATTCAGCTGTTTCTTTTTGCAATGCAATCTCCAAAGCTGTGGCAAAGTACTGTGGACATATGGAAAGTGGGAAATTTGACCAAGTTTTCACATGTGTATCAAACACATTTAATCACTATGATCAAGATAGTTGAGAAATCCTTTAATAAGAAACTGCCACATTGTTTTCCAAAATATTGGTACCATTTTCCTTGCCCATCACTAATGCATGAGAATCCTGTTTCCTTCCTATATTCTTTATCACAAAGTGTTTTTGAATGGACATCAGTGTGGCTTTAATATGCATCACACTGAGCACTAGTCATGTTGACCATCTTTCCATGTGTTTACAATCTCTATATATTTCTTTGGTAAGCTGTCTTTTTAAATCTCTTGGCATTTTAAAGATTAGTTCATTCCTTATTGGATGAATTTTCAGAGTCCTGGATACCATTCCACTTCTAGTTGTATTTTATTGCAAGGAATTCTCATCAGTTTCTAGCTTGACTTTTATACTCTTAATAATATCTTTTCAAGAGTGTAAGTTATAACTCTTAATGAAGTTCAGTTACATATTTGTTCATTTACGGATTTTGTTGCTTATGTCATAGGTAAGAAATAACTGCCTAGTGCTAGATCACAAAGGTTTCCTTCTTTGTTTTATTCTAGGTCTTTTAGTTGTAGGTGTTCCATTTAGATCTGTGGTCCATTTTGAGTTCCTTTTAGTGCTTGGTGGGAAGTTTGGATCCAAGTTTATTCTGTTGACATGGAAATCTGGTTGTTCCAGCACCACATATTGAAAGGCTATCTTTTCTCCACTGCATTGCCATCAGGCCTTTATCAAAATTAAGTTGGTTTTTACGTGAGGGTCTACTTCTGTACTCTGAAATGTATTCCATTGATCTCTTAGCCTTTCTCCATGCCAGCATCATACTGATTTGATACTATAGATGTGTATACTTGGAAATGGTCCAAGTATACTTGAGACCAACCCTCCTGTCTCCCCTATTTTGTTCTTTGTTCAGGGATACTTTGTCTATTCTAAATCCTTTGTGTTTCCATATGACTTTTTTTTTTTTTAAGTGTTGGAGAAGGAAATCAGGCACTCGAGTGGTCAAGGCAAGTACTCTGCCACTGATCTATATATCCAGTCCTCCATATCATTTTAGAATCAGCTTGCCAATTTAAAAAAAAAAATGGCTGCTTGCCTTTGGGAATTATATTGGGGAGAATGACATCTTAATAATGACTCTTTAAACTCCTGAATAAAGCACATCTTTCCAGTTGCTTAGGTTGCATTTAATTTTCTCTAATATTTTGTGGTTTTTAGTGTATGGACCTTTCTGTGCATTATCAGATTTATCCAGATTTCAGATATCTTAATAAAGCTGTAAATAGTGTTTTAATTTCTTTTCTTAAATATATTTTATTTTCAAATGACACAGTAATTATACATATTTATGGGGTACTTATGTTTCAATGTTTATATAATATTTGATAATAAGATCAGGGTAATTGAGATGACTATCGACTTTTTCATTTATCATTTCTTTGTTCCAGGCACATTCAAAAATCCTCTCTAGAGACTAGTTACTTTGAAATTTTCAATTAATTGTTGTTAACCAACTGTGCTATGGGACACTAGAAGTGATTCCTTCTACCCAACTGCACCCCATTCCCATTAATCATTTTTTCTCCATCCTCATTCTTAAAAACCCCTTCCAGGCTCTGGTCACCACTTTTCTGTTCCATTCTATGAGATCAGTTTTTTGCATGGAGGCAAGAGAGAGGTTTATTATTTTTATATATGCTTTTAAAGGTCCTGATCTCATTGATTTCCTCCATCTTTTTCTATTTAGATAAGCTTATCTTTTACGTTGTGGTAGTCTGTCTGGACTAGCTACGTGGAAAAATAGCAGAGACTTCTTTGCTTACTTTCTGGAGGTAGGGATGTCCCAAATCAAGGCACTAGCAGATGTGGTGTCTGGTGAGGGCCTGCTTCCTCGTTATCTGTGGCTGCCTTTTCCCTTGTCCACAGGTGGCGGAGGAAGTGAGTGAACTCTTGAGGGTCTCTTTTGAAAGATCACTATTCACTTCACGGAGGCTCTTACGCATTACCTGATTGCCTTTAAAAGTCCCTACATGGTAATTTGATTGTTTATGAAATTATATTTCAACATATGAATTTTGTGGGGACACCTACATTGTGACTACATCAAGTGTTTCTTACTTCCTTACTCCTGCTTGCTTTGGGTCTATTTTCATCTTTCTGTTTTCTTAAGGTAGAAGTCAAGGTTAGTGATTTGAGATTGCTCTATTTGAAATATCGGTGTTAAAGTTGTTCATTTAAGTGCTGCTGGTGGTATAGTTCACAAATTCTGGAATCTTATTTTTTTTTTAATTTTTGTTTAGTTCAGAATGCTTTCTAGTTTCTGTTTTTATTACCTCTTTGACCTAGGGTTTCTTAGATGTGTGCTGCTTTGTTTCAAAATATCTGAGTATTTTCCAGAGATATTTTGTTATTATTTTCTAATTTGATGTCTTTGTGATCAGAAAATATACCTTGCCTGGCATACATCATTTGGGCTTCATCTTTTTACTATGATTAATTGTGCTGTCTTAGCATTTTGGAAGGAGTGGTGGTGTTCAAGTCTGCTATATTGCTGATGTCTACCTACTTTTTCTATCACTTATCGAGTAAGGGGCATTAGCATATCAGATGATCCTTGTGAATTTACCTAGTACTGTTTTGTGGTCCTATCCAATTTTTTCATCATGCATTTTATATCTATATTGGGTACATCATGAGAATTCAAGATTGCAAGCCTTCTTAATTAATAGAATATTTTATCACTATGAAATTGGCTCAACCCATACAGCACAAAACAGTTCTCTGAAATGCAGTCGATGAGCGGATTGAAAATATAGGGAGAATAAGAAATAAAGACAAAAGACACAAAGTACGTGAAAGTGGGGCTGCTGAGTGAGCAAGCCCTGGTGGGGTCTCGCCGAACAACAAGCAGGGCTCTGTGTATTTATTATGTAGGTTTTCACATCAGAGGGATGTATTATGAGAAAACTTCTTCAAGGTAATCAAATTGAGGTTGTGGGCAGGAACTGACATATCAACTGGGCATGTCAGCTGGCCTGATATCTTCTCTAGCTCTGGGCAGCTGGTGCCTCAAGGCTATGAGTATTTCTTTCACCCCTGGGCAACTGGTATTGAAGCTATTGAACCTTAGATCCCATGTGAAGCATGGAATCTACCCCATTAGCAGTGGCCGCCTGAGAATGGGTATTTCTCTCACCACTACAGCACTGAAAGATTCCCAGAAGCAGCGTCACTGTCCAGGGCCACAGAGTTCAAAAGCAATGATTCATTTTCCATTTCCAACAGGAAAGGACCCTGTTCACGGCTGGAAGTAGTTTGGTGCTATTCAATCTGCTTAGGCATTCATTCCTACAGCCATTCCTGCTAAGCTTGCTTTGGTCAAGTGTTTGTGTGGAGTATCTTTTCCCATTTTTTAAAACCAATTTGTCATGACATTTAAAAGTTATTTTTTATAGGTAATGTATAGCTGGATCTGACAATCTGACTTTTAATTGAAGTGTGTAGTCCATTTTTAATTAACAGGATTCCTTGAAAAACATTTGCATCAGGAGGACAGTCAAAAATATGTGTGTACATTGGACTCCCCAAAACCTTAGGCACCAATAACCTGTTGTTAAACAAAGATTTCTGGAAAACAGAAAGAGTCAATTAACATATATTCTGATGTCAAGTGTATTATATGTAGGGGAAATACAGAACTTCAAGAGCTTTTTTTTTACTGTGAGGGTCAAGTTACTGGAGAGATGAGCAACTGCCATGGAGATGAGAAGTGCTATGACCTTTCAAGCAGATACTTGTGACACTTGATTTACCTCTGTGCCAATAGGAGTTGGCTATGAAATTACTGCAATAGTGTGGCTATGTATTATGACATCTTTATTTTTGTTTACCTTTTTCTTGACTTCATATCACAACATATACATTTAGCAGAGTGGTGTGTATATAAGTTGCGATAAATTTTTTAAGTTTTTATGTTAGATTTGTGTATATCCACTAGTAGTAAATGATAAAGTAGAATATTTTTTCATGTTGCCTTCATTCATATCTTTCTTAATTTTTTCAGTATTTCTAGGTTATGTGGTTATTCTGGTTTTTTTCCCTAAGTTATCTTGAATCTTAAAAAAAATGAATAAATAATTCTGCACAGATGACAGCCTGTACAGTTCCAGCCTGTGTTGTTCAAGGGTCAGTTGTAGTCGGTTGTGGTAGTCATCATACTCCTTGACTTGTATCTGTTGGTCTCCCCCAGAAAGTGCAATTTATTTTTAAAAAATATCTTTCATGCCTCTTCTTTTAATTTTATTTTGGAATTCAGATAGTTTTACTTATCAATATCTCTGATTTGTCACGGTGATCTGCCTGCGATCAATTTCCCAGGCAAGACCCCTCTGGCGACTCCAATTTGTTCATGTGAATTATGTGTTTTTCTAGACTGGCTGATGGGAAGAGACCCTCTTCTTTGCACTGTTTGAACACCAGGCAGTTTCCTTGAATGTTTGGAAATGTTTTTTCCCCTAAGTCTCAGGTCTTTCCTGGGTCTCATGGATGGTTCATTACTCTGCTAAATATTCACAGGGACCCTTGGCACATCTCTCATGTCCCTTCTCCAAACTGCTCTCTCATCGCCAGTGCTGCGGCCTGTGATCTCTTCCTGCCTTGGTTTCACCAGACTCAGTTCTAGCACATACCTCAAGGAATCTGGTGGACTCTTACACGGGTTCCTTATCTTGAGGCATGGACTGGAGGCTCTCTAATAGCAGGGAGCTGGCATATTTGCAAGACTTACTTCATTTATGTCCTGTATAGGGAATCATCTTCCTCATATCCAAAGTCCGCTGTCTTGAAAATTTCTATTGAATGTATTTTGACTGTTTTTGCTTTGTTGTTTCAGGTAGGATCATAAAGCATTGCTTTTTCCCCCACCTTGACTAGAAGTAGTTTTTGTTAGTCTCAGCACAAGCCATACATTGTGGAGAAGGTCCTTCTTCACCTCTACCTAATTGCTTGCTGTTCACCCTTCCTTTCTCAGTGTAGCCTGATCTTCCTCATGGAAATCTTTCTGTAGGTCAGATGCCCTCATGTGATCACAGAACTCTCTGTTCCCTCACATCATCTCTGGGGATTTAGAATAGTTCTTTCATTTGCCTGTCTTCTTCACTAGGCTTGAAGCTAAATAGTAGCAAGAGTCTGTTTACAACCCTTTTACCTGCAGAATTTGTTATCACAAGTCCCAGGTTGTCGGCACTCTGTATACATTTGTCAGTGTATGAATGAGTGACAAGGAACACCTCTTCACCTATGAAAAGTATGCCAATTTTTTTTGTTTCTAAAATATTTTGTTTTCTCCTTGATACAGACTCCTTTATCCTATTGAACATCCAGGATGCAGTTCATTCCTATCAAAAAATAATAGAATTGGAAGGAAATGACTGTCTGCAGTGTTCTGCATTTGTTAAAAATATTGCAAGACTGAAAAGGAAGATTTCTGGAGCGAAAAAGGAGCTATCAGAACTAAGAACAGTGACATTGGAGCTGGAGCAGAGGAGAGCAGTATGGAAAGAACAACTCTACAGCCTGAGGTGTGACATCCTAGACTGAAAAAAACCTTTGAATTATTTCTTACCAGTCCATAGGGGAATGCTTATAAAGGATGACTTATCTGCTGTCACGACCAGGATTACTTCTTCTTCTTCTTTTTTTTTTTTTTAAAGAGAGAGAGAGAGAGAATTTTTTAACATTTTTTTTTTTTTTTAGTTTTCGGTGGACACAACATCGTTGTTTGTTTGTGGTGCTGAGGATCGAACCTGGGCCACACGCATGTCAGGCGAGCGCGCTACCGCTTGAGCCACATCCCCAGCCCAGGATTACTTCTTTAATTAAATGCCTATTGTTTCCGATCAGAATTTTAATGTCTACATAGAAGCCTACCTTGTAGAAATATCACTGTTTAACAAATAGAATTTTGAGTTGTTTTTAATTTTTATTTCTATGTTACAATTGATGTTTCAATTAACTTCATTTAGAAAAATTATTTTCTACATTTATATTTTCTATATTTCTATAAATACTTCAACATAGAATTATTTGATTAAATTAGAGAAGCTTTTTAAAAAGCTTTTTAGAGAAGCTTTCTAAATTACTCCAAGAATGTTTATATGAGTTTACAATTCCACCAAAGAGATTGAAATGGAATTTTTTTCAGCACAGATACATGTTTATATAAACATTTATACAAATTTTTTTTCCTGGTGTTTTGGATCAAACTCTCAGGGGTGGGCGTACCTAAGTAGGTATGCTATGCTACTGCTGAGCAATAGCTATACCCCCAGCTGCAGTTTTAATGTTAATGTCCATGAAATAAAAGTGAGATAGGGAATGATTACTGTTTATTTTATTTAAATTCTCCCTCATATATAAATAAAATTTGTTCCAATTTCTAAGTTGAAAGGACATATAACTAACTCTTTATTATTGGAGTAAGTCTTAGGTCCTGGCTTGTTCTGAGGGAATTTGAGCAGTTATAGAATACATAATAATCAGCAGGACACTTTGAAAGTGTTACCATAAAAGAAATATAAAAAGGGGGATGGCAGGTATTGGACCCCCTCCTGGTAAGGGGGCAGTGTATCTTGTGTGAAGAATTTCTGAAGATTCTGTGTTACATTGTAAAACAGTTGTAGGGATTCTGGTTATGTTTCATAAAGATAAAAGCTTATTACTAGTGAATGTTCAAACATGATTATAAACAATAAGTCTTCAAAACTTATTTAACTTTAAATTATGTTTTTTTTAATTGAGGAGGAATTATAACAGTAAAAAAAAAATGATTTTTTTTTAACTTGTCACTTTTCTGGACTGTTTCAAAATTCGTTTTCCATCATGTCTACCAGAGTTACCATAGTGGCATCCCCGTCTCCACAGAAAATCTTAACTAAGCTTCTCTAGAAATCTTCACCATGATTGATCTTAGGACTATCAGCACAAGAATCTCTACAAAAGAGTTCAGTGTAGTTAAAAAATTCTTTTTTCCTCTTACTCTATCTTACTTGGCCTGGAAGATATCAGCCCTCCAGGTGCTGAATGCCCCTTTACTAGTTTTTCACAAATATTTATAGACTATCCAGTATAAATAACAACATATATAATAGTTTGTAGAAGTGTGCTTGCAAATGCAGAATGTGATAAGAAAACAGATTCTTTTAACTAGGCCTCTGGCCTTGGGCAGGAGCTTCACAGAGATGTTTACATTTCAAAGAGGAGAGAAGAAGTTACCAACTGGGCTCCAGGGGAAGAGCTGTCAGGGGGAGGAAAGAAAGTGGAGAAGAAGCTCTCCCCTTCTTGGGCCCTGTCCTTAAAGGGTAACTTGCTCAGAACAGTGAAACAAAAGCTGCTTTTGTGTGAACTTCTGCAGACTGTGAACTTCTGAGCCCCTCCCCTTATAAGCTGGGTATAAAGCTCTGAAACTGCCTAAATTCGGGATTCAGGGGGATTGATTGATTACAATGAAAGCTTTGCCCACTGAACCTGGCTGCAGCCAAATAAGCCTGCTTCCTTTAGTGTCTTGCCTCATCTGTCCCCTGCAACATGACAAGTAACAGAAACTCACTTATTAACAGAATGTTCTCTTATTGTTCCCTTTTAAATAGATATGTTTTGGAATAGATTGAAGTAGAAATTAAAAGCATAAGAACTGGAAAGGAAAAATATCTGAACGCATACAATTTTTATTAGCATAATAAATCAATATCGGAAAAGCCAGAGTACAAAATGAACTTTGTGTTTTCTGATGAAATCAATTTTAAGATAACCATATTTAACTGCAGATGCATGTTACAAGAAGGAGAGGAGAAGAGCAAAAATTATGATCAGATTTATGAACACTTTAAGGACCAGTTAAGAAAAGAAGAGGAGGAATGTAATGAACAAGTCGAAGTCACAAAACAACTTGAAGTCTCTCTGAGGATGTTAGATACAGAATTGAGAACTACAAGAAATAAGTTGAATCAGGTGAGTTTTTCCTCAATAAAGTTTCAAATGTCTTACTTTATGTGATTGACATCTGCAATTCCCCTTTTAGTTAATGTGTGGTCACGTGTCATTCAGTGATGGGGACATGATCTGGGAAGGGCGTCGTTTGCAATGTCTTTGCTGGGCATCCTAAGCCTGCACTTAGAAAAACTTATGACGCCTCCCACGACACCAACCAACACCATAGTATACACAGTCTGTAGTCTCACAAAAGCATTGCTATGTCTTGTGTGGCTGTTATTTAGTTTTAAAACCAAGTGTCATCTGACCCTCAAACTAAACGATGACACTTAGGGCTGATATTATTTATTGCTAAAGTTGGCATCTCATAGATGCCCAGCATGATTACTAGATGAAGGTATAAAAGGTGATTTGAGGTTAACCACTAACATAAATGTTAATTTAGAGATTTTTGTAAGATAAGACTAACTAGCTTTAAAACTGTCATGAAACTAGTTAAATGTTCTGTTAAAAAAATGCTTTTCACAATTGTATCTTTCCTTGTATTTAAGAGGAGTTTTGACAAATTGAGCTTGCATTTGTGCAATTAAAATTTGAGCAGTTCATATGGGGCGAAGCTTCATGTAGTTTTGATCCCGCTGGTTATCAGTGACAAGCCCTGCTTCCTCACATGCTAAAGTATAACATTAGAGAAGCATGCCGCGGTGAGCATATAAAGCAGGGTTTATTAAAAAGGGGTAACATAGACTTTTCCCAGGAGGGCGAATGGGGCCATATCCTGGTATCCCAAGAAGTGAGGGTGTTCTGCCTTTTTTATGTATCTTTGTTCTCCTGCTCTCTTCCCCTTACCTCTCTCTCCTTCCTGTGTATGTACCTGAGTAGGCCCAGGAGATGCTTAGGTTGGATGGCCGAAAGGTGAGAAGTAGATGGACAGGGTAAAGTGCAAGGTGGAGGGCCCAGAACACATTAATTAACAACTTTTATAACTCCCTGTAGGGAGGGACAATTCCTGGGATAGGTTACCTTAGCAACAGGTTGGAGCAGTGGCAGGGTATCTTGATAAGGGTGGAAGAAGGGCTCTGAAGACATTTCAGTCCCTCAGGGGGCAGTTTCTAACTTTCCAGACTCACTCAAATTGGCCTCCTTGATCCAACCTGACTTGATTTACCTATCTCTATTGACTGCCTGTCTAATTCTGGCTTCCCTTTTACAGCCTGTTTCTTTTTAACAGTTTTTTGTTTTGTTTTTTGAAGGTACAGCTCTTACTTAAGTTTTAGACTTTCTGCCCCCTGCTGGTATAAGACCCAAACCTTACTGATGTGAACCTTTAGGTTACAACTTTCCTGAGAATAAAATGCCAAAATTTACAAGATGGGATTCTGGCAAATCATCTTTGCAAACAAAAAGAAAGAGACATGGCATGAAAGGAAATGATTCCTAAGTTATTTTGTTCTGTTGTTTACAAATATGTGTATGTGTGAACCAAGTTTACATAGTAACCATCCTTTATGGTGATATATAAAGGATTTAAAAGCCATATGTATACCCATAATGTACATATTTTGGGAGCTGGGGTGGTATTTTTGTCCCATTGAATTAAGTGATGTTCTTTTGGGGGGGGTTGGGGGTACCAGGGATTGAACTCAGGGGCACTTGACCACTGAGCTACATCCCCAGCCCTATTTTGTATTTAATTTAGAGACAGGGTCTCACTGAGTTGCTTAGCATCTCGCTGTTGCTGAGGCTGCCTTTAAACTTGTGATCCTCCTGCCTCAGCCTCCTGAGCTGCTGGGATTACAGGTGTGCACCACCATGCCCAGGCTAATTAAGTGATGTTCTTAGTTCTACTCTGTTTGTCTCCAGCAATACAGTGTTAATTTTCACAATGGCCTCATCCAGAGAAAAGGGTTTTCAATATTTTTCATAGGAAACGATTTTTCCATGATCTCAAAAACCTTTGCTATACTCACAATGATGCTCTAGTTTGGGGCAGTGATTTCACCCCCATGGTATGTGACGTGGGTCTGCTCATTACTCCCACTGTTAGGTAAGGAGGAGAAGGATGGCCAGCAGATACCCCGGTTTGGATCTCATCTCCTGACTTTCAAGAAGAGAAACAGTTGGGTCCACATAATCTCCTAGTTCAGTACAAAAAGCTGTTGGAAACCATGACATACCATAATATGTACTTCGTGATGATTGATTAGCATTAGTTCCTAATCAACTAGGTCAGTTTATTTCCCTATTTCATATTTAGTCGTATTTTAAACTTTATGAAGAAGTAGCAAATATGTCTTAGGCTTCCTTTATTCTCAAACTGAGCAAGCGGTTTCAGAAGTTTCTGAGAAAAGTCTATAATTTATTTTCCATTAGTATTGTGAAGCTGAAGACTTCTGTGTGTGTCTGTACATTGGCAGTAGAGACACATCAGGTTTGGTCGAGGAGCACCAGGAGCAGAGTCACAATGGGTAACATCCTGCAGCTCGCTTATAGTGCACTCCTTTTCAGACTGTGATCAAAATCTCATTGCTAAATGTAGACATGCTTAATACAGTTCCTAGATTTATCATTTGCCAATAGATGCAATTATTATAACTGACTGTAAAATGTTAGAAAAGTAGGATGTGTATAGAATATTTTATGACAAGGAAACTAAAATAACTTAGGGGGATATCATTTGTCCAAATATATGGAGAGCTAATGTTCTTACTGTAGGGTGGCTGTATAGATGAGGTATCAGACTACACACTTACTTTTTTACATAGTCAGACTTACTCATCACTTACTCTCTGCCTTGAATCTGTTGTAATTCAGAGAAAGTCTTTTTCAATTTTGAGATTCTTTAAATTGCCATTTCTTTTTAGTCTTCAATGAACTTTTGGAACTTCTGGGGAATTTATGCTTCCATAAGCTCTGAAGTTGACATCTAAGTTTTCTCCAGATGCATTTCCATTTATTGCATCCCTTTCACTGTATAAATGTACAGGTTGTTCTTTATTTTCAGAGGAAATTGTGACGTGATTTTATTGAGTGCTCGCTAAAAAGGTCTTCTTGGTTTATTTAGGTTTCTACCAATGAAACAGAGAGAGAACTGTTGCACGAATATGTCAGATTGCAGGATGAGATCGCTTCGATGAGACTGGACATTGACACCCTAAAATATCAAGAGGAAAAGGAAAAGAAGTATCTTGAGGATATTGAAATTTTAAGGGAAAAGCATAATGCCCTTCAAAGCACAGTCAAGCTGAATGAGGAAATATTTATAAAAACCACACTCCATTATAAAGAAAAGATCCGTCTTCTGAAAGCTGAGCTTGCAATGCAAAATTTCAACCTGGAGAATGAAGAAGAAAACACAGAAACTCTGGAAACAGAAGTCAGTTCGTGTCCTGTCAGACTGGCCGCTGCTCCACACCATCCTGATGACAGTGAGAGAGCAGAAAGAGACCTGGGACTTGTTTTCCAGGGAGCAAGAAATGAGGGTTTTGGTTCACAGGCCAAGGAGGATTTTGATACATCCAGTCTAACAGTTGGTTATGAGCTTCTTCCCCAACAGCTTTCTAGGTCTGAGATGAAAATCGGTAGCCTAGAAAACGAGCTCCATCATACAGTAGATGCTTTTAGAAAAGCGACTTTTGATTTAATACAAACACAAGGCCAGATTGAGAAAATGGAACACAGTGATCAAGATGAAAAAAGTCAAGGGAATAAATACACTAAAACCCAGGAATGGATAGAGAAGAGATTCTCTCAACCACAACGTGAATATACATTGCCTCAACAGAAATTGCGTGACCTTCGCAACCAAGTTGAAAATGAGGAAGATATACTCACTAATATCCAAGGCCGGTTTCACCATATGGTGAACATGTTTCAAGCTCAGACTGAAAATCACAATCTCAAGGAGGAAAACAGGAACATGGAGTTAATCAATGAATGCGACGAGTTCAGAGACGAGCTGTATCCATACGAAAATATGGAAGCAGAAAGAGAAGAAGTAAGTATCAACCAAGAGGAATATATGAATTATCTTTGAAGGAAATTCAAAGTGGTATTTGATTATGGCTAAATGCTGAATCTAGTTAAGCTAAAAAATCCTTATATAATAATGTTTGTTCTATCATAACCTGGTTTCTAGTAAATACAGCTTAGTCCTCATTCCCAGCACACAGAAAGGACCCAGCTGTGAAAAAGGAATGAGTCTGCCAGTTTCCCTGTTCTGGTTGTTACACATCATATACAGGTTTTGAAATAGCACACTCTACCATATATATATATATATATATATATGCCAATTAAGCATAAAAAGAAAGATTTAATGTTACACAGAACTGATTTTAAAATTAAATAAAGGGGGAAAATTGAAAATCTTGGGCCTGAATGGTGCTTCATTATGAGAAAACATATTGTGTTTCCTATGAAGTTTTAGGAGGCTGACTTAGATTTTTAGTACATATATGCTGATGTTAATAATATATGCTTATACTGCTGAACCAATATCTGCTTTTTCCTGCTGGGGATTGAATCCCCAAGCTCTTGTATGTACTAAGCACATGGTAGATCATGATCTACCACAGAACTGTGCCTCAGCCCTGAATAATAAATTTTATGTCTTCATGTCCCCATGCTTTAAGAACATGATGAAACAGATCAGTGGTAATGCTCAGACATAGTTTCAAAGAAGTGGATGACCTCCACAGTTCATTGAAGATTTCCCAGAGGCACTGAAGTGTAGATACTATATTTTGTAATAGATTTCCTTCACTAGAATTTTATAAATTTCTAGTTGGTAATTTTATTTTATTCATGTCAATATGACTTCAATCTGAAAATAAAGGTCCCAATTTGTTCATATGTATGAACTTTCTAGTCTTTAGAAGAGTCATTCAATCATAATTTGGGACAAATGTGATGAGTTGCAGTAAGACCATAGTTGACTTGATCTTCCTGCTGTATCTGTAATTTATTTATCTCTTCATCTGTTTAAGGGCATCTAGGTTAGCTTCATAGCTTAGCCATTGTGAATTGAACTCTGCTATAAATATTAATATGGTTGCATCACTGTAGGATGGTAATTTTAACTCCCTTGGATATATACCTAGGAGTGGTATTTTTCCAAATGAATTTCATGACTGCCTTTTTATGTCTATGAAAAACAACATTGGAATTTTAGTAGGAATTGCTTTAAATCTGTATAGCACTTTTGGTAGTATGGCCATTTTGACAATATTAATATTAAAGTTTTCTGGTTGAGATTTGGGGTCTTTTAAATATGGAGTCATGTTGTGGGTAACAGAGATAGTTCATATTCCTTTAATTTCTTTCTTTTGCCTAATTGCTTTGCAAGAGTTTCAATATAATTGGTGAAAGAGGGCATCTCTTTCTTGTTCCAGAGGAAATACTTTCAATTTTTCTCTATTTAGAAGTATGTTGGTCTTGGGTTTGTTGTATGTAGCTTTTACAATGTTGAGGTATGTCCCTTCTATCCCTGGTTTTTCTAGTGTCTTGAATATGAATGGATGGTACTATATTTTGTCAAATGCTTTTTCTGTATCTTTTCAGATAATCATGTGATTCTTGCCTGTAAGTCTATTGATATGGTGAATTACATTTGGCTGAGAATCCATTCAGTCCTGGGCTTTTCTTTGTTGGTAGGCTTTTGATGGCATCTTCAATTTCATTACTTGAAATTTTTCTATTTCAAATTTCTGTGTCCTCCTGGTTCAATTTGGGTGGGTCAAATGTCTCTAGGAATTTGTTGATCTCTTTTAGATTGTGTAGTTTATTGGAGTACAAATTTTCAAAATAGTTTCTGACTATCCTCTGTATTTCGAGTAGGGTGGTTTCCTCTCTCATCATGAATTTTAATAATCTGAGCTTTTCCCTCTTTATTCTGGTCTCCTAGGCACAGTGTTATTCATGTGGCAGGCCTCTGACAGGCCCATTTTTTGGACCCCGCTCAGATTCCCCAGATCTTGGCTCCCAGTCCCTAAGGCTACCAGCTGCTGCAGCACCAGGTCCAGATGACTCCTTCCTAAGCTCTCATGTACAACCAGGAAACACCAGACGTCTCTCACACATGAGGATTCTAGCAGTGGTGAGCTTTCCTCTTTGTTTTATTGTATCTAATCTTCTGAGTCCCCAAGCTGCTCTGAGTGTCCAGTATTAAATTCTAATGCAATCGCTCTTTCACTCATCTCACTGAGAAGCTGGATGTCCGCTGTCTTGGTGTCACACCAGGGAGCAGCTTGGAAAGCCACCTCCTCTACTCTGCCATTTTCCTCTCTCCTCCTACAGTGTACTAATTTCTTAAAAAAAATCTGACTTTCATCCTTGCATTTTTCTCTTATGATGTTATACATGTTTCTTTAAAATATCTACCTTTATGAAAGCTAATAATTATCCATGATTCTCTACACAAGTTGAGAGGTGTTTATTTCTGTTAACCAGTACTTTTTAGTGCTGTCTCTATTGCCACGTAAGTTAAGGCACATTGAATCAGAGGGTACCATTTAATGGAACATTTGTGAATGGTTACAGAATCTATTGTGATTGTTAAATGGATTTCAAGGTAACTTGAACAGAAAGGCTATGATACTTTTCTCAGAATTCATAAATATTTTAATGTTTAAATTACTAGAAAATTATTAATGCTTTTCCTGTACTTTTCTTTCATTTTAGACACATTATAAAAGCGTAGAAATACTCATATCATGTCTTTACCTTATATCCAAAGTGGAGAATGAAGAACACGGGAACTTTGAAAAGGCAACCTTATTGAGAGATAATGGACATACCATACAGGTCACCCACTTAACATATAACATTCAGTTGCATAACCATCACCACAGTCAAATTTAGAACAGTTTCCTAACCTTGAAAAGAAACCTGAGATCCCTTAGCTATCACCTCCCGACACCCAACATCTTCCTAAGTGTTAAAACCACCTGTTAAGGTTTGGATGTGGTGTCCCCCAAAAGCTCACGCAGTGAAACCATGCAAGAAGTTTCAGAGAAGTGATGTTTGGGTTAGGAGAGCCTTAACCCAATCAGTGAATTAATTCCCTGATAGGGATTAACTGCGTGATAACTGAAGTGGCAGGGTGTGGCTGGAGGAGGTGGGACTTGGGGGTGTGGCTTTGGGGGATGTGTTTGTATTTGGCAAGTGGAGTTTCTCTCTTCTGCTTCCTGACCATTATGTGAGCTGCTTCCCTCCACTACACTCTTCCACCATGATGTTCAACCTCATCTTGACCCCTGAGGAATGGACCTGGATATCTATGGACTGAGACCTCTGAGTCCATTAGCCTCCAAATAAATTTTTCCTCTTCTACAGTTGTCCTGGTCAGGTCCTTCAGCCACAGTGGCAAAGGGGCTAAAACACCACCACCGATCTACTTTTTGTCTCTGTGGTTTCTATGTAATGGACATTTCATACCCGCATATTGGCACAGTGTTTGGTCTTGCTTGACCAGGTCCTCTGACTTACTGAGCTGACTGTTTTCAGGGCTGGTCTGCACTGTGGCAAGGGTCAGTACTTCCTTTCTTCCTGGTCCTCCCACGTGGCTGCACCACTCATCCACGGGGACCTCAGGGAGCTGCTGCTTGGTGCGGTGCTGACGTGGCTGGGCTCTTTTACGCACAGGTTACTGTGTGGACGTGCTCTTCTTCCCGGGCCATTGGGTTTTGTCCTCTGCACTCCTTGTGCGGATTCATCCTCTCTCTGCCTCACTCATGCTGTCCTTTCTGTTTTTTCCATTTTTATTCATTTGGCCTCATTTATTTAGAACTGGCCTAAAAAGAATTTGCTCTTTTTCTAGAAGCTTCCTCTGACTCCTCTGGCTCCCTGACCTCACTCTTTTCAGCACTTGGCTGTGCAGAGTTATGTAGTCCTTAATGTTACTTTCACCTTTTTTATTTTTATTTTTTGCATGGTACATTATCTTGTCTAAGTATAAATTCACCTATGGTGAGAATAATATCTGATATTCATGACACCTGTTCTTGAATAAATGGAAAATGGTTTTGCTTGACAGTTGTTTTGAATCAATTAATTATATCATACCAAATTTTTCCCTTGAGATTTTGACCTATCAGTGTTTTAGTATAAATATATTTTAAGCAATTTATGAAATTACTTAAAATGAAATTGAATACAATTAATCCAACAGAGAATTGATCTGTTGAATGCTCTTTTTTTTCCACTATGGGAAAAAAATCTAAATTTCCCCAAAGTTTATTATATAGCCAGAATAGGTATTTATAGATCTGAAATTCTAACCCTCTAAAAAACTGTGGTTTCAGCTTTTCTCATACATTATACTGCAAAACCTTAACCTCCTCATCAGATATATAAAGTATATTTTCTTGTAGTCGATTTTGTGTAAAGTTTGCTTATTGGTTTTGTGTTCAAATATCCTCAGCCTGCTTCCTTTATTATCAAACTCTATGATTTTATTTAAGTAAATTGATGATCTTAATGTAAGGCTGAAAATGCATCTTCAAAATAATTATAGCTCAAAGTAAAATATGATTTTTTTTACAAAAGTTACTATCTTTTAAAAGTACAAAAAAGATGTGAAAAATAGAGAGGAATCAAAAGAAAGTGGGAGAAGATGTAGTGAATGTCTAAAGGCACACAGAAATCAATATAGTGGAGCTGGGCGTGGTGATGTGTACCTACAATGCCAGAGACTCAGAGGCTGAGGCAGGAGGATCACGAGTTCAAGGCCAGCCTCAGTCACTTAGGGAGGGCCTAAGTAACTTAGTAAGACTCTGTCTCAAAGTAAAAACAAAAAGTGATGTAGGTGTGGCTCAGTGGAATAGCACCTCTGAGTTCAATCCTCAGTACCAAAACAAACCAAAAAAAGAAAAAACAATATAGTAGGACACAGACATGGAACATTGCATAAATAGGACATTGAACAAAGATAAGAGAGGATTTAGAGAAAAACCAAAAACAAGTAACTCTATAGTTTATTATATTTAACTGAAATGT